CGTGGCATTTAGCTCTGTTTCTTCTGCCCTTTAATCCCCTAAAACCTTTTAAACCTGAGTGATTCAGCCTTTATGCAAAATTTATTTGGATCAACACAGGAATGATTATCCATTTGAAATTAATTTCCTTGGGTACTGTCCATTAACAGGTATAAGTTTCTAGATAGTCCAGAGGAAATGAGCACAGAAAACTTTGGGAAACTTATCTGAAGGTAATTCCTGGGTTCAATCTTCACACATGGAGAACAGTGAAAGGACACAAATTTACCTTATTTACTTGGCAAATAAATGCTATGAATAGTTAATTTGCTTTAGTGATATTTCACCTAATGAGAAGTGGTCCCTTTTGGCTTTCATCAAACTTGACAGAGAAAAAAGAAAAAAACTTTTACAAAGACAAGGATGGAAATACAGCATAAAACACTGCCTACAATATGTGACTCAGTCTTCCAAGACAATTTGTGACAAAACAGGAGCATGGATTACAACTGGGGGTTCTAAGGGCTGGGATGAACTAGCAATATATTATAAAAGTGTTCAACAAATCAAGGGTACCCATTGCCTGACTTACCACATATTCCTGGGTGATTGCAGCATTATTCTACTGGAATCAATAATGCCGCAACTCAGTAAGACTTGAATAATGAAGAGGTGAATCTAGCCCTTCGCTGTCAATTTAATTATCCATACAAACTAGGCATTTGGCAAGAAAGGGTATTTCTATTGCTCCATAAAGACAAATTATGAGGAAATAAACAGGAACACAAAGCTAACATTGCTGCACTGAGTAAAATGTTGGCATAAATCCTGGAAGTTTACCTAGCAATGTGTAATGTCATAATTAAACTCAGAAAAGAAGCCTGAGCTATTCTCTATGCCCGATGCGTAATATAAGGATCTGAAAAGATGTTGAATTTCCATGTAACAAAGCTATCTAAATCCAGTTACTTCCAGAAGTGTTAGCCACCTGTGAACACAATGGAAACATTTAAACTAATTTTTGAGTGTTCAAATGCTCTTTTCAATCCCATGTCAATTATTTTGCAAATAAATTAAAAATTATTTTATTTATCATAAAAGTTCACATGACACAAACAAAGAACCTGGGAAAGGCCAGGTCCAGACATTGGCTGAGGATTAGAGAAGAATTAGCCCTCACAGACAAAAGGCTGTAAACCCAATTGATAAAAGAAGCAACATCCAATAATTTTGTGATGAAATTGCACCAACTGAAGATTCAGCACTGGGGTACTTTCTAAGCCCATGAACGAAGACAGTACAGGCTTTCAAAATGAATTTCTTTCATTCTTATTTTTTCTTCTCTTTTTCAGTGCATTCATATTTCCTTAAATAATTATTTTGATTTACACTTTTGTTTTCTCTCTGACTTTAAAAAGCCTGAAATGTGCCTTCTGTTACAGATACCAGGCAAAGTAATTATCTTTGCATTATATTCAAGCATTACAAAAAGCCCAGTTGGGAAGGAAGGAGGACTGACAACACTGCCTTTATTAAATTGCATGCCTGCTCCCTGCAGAATGATTGGAAGACCTGCAAAGCCCATACAATTTCAGAGTGTACAGTCTACCCCTTTGTGAGGCTGCCCATTATATACAGACGTCATTACTATTGAATATATATACATGCACATACATATATAATCAGAGTTTTTTCTTCAGCTCTGATTTGCTTTTCTGACAGAAATACTGTCAGGTAAGTAGTGCACGATCATCTCAGAAATGCCTGACCAAACTAGAAGAGCCTCAGCCACCCTCTTCAGGTTTCTCAGCATGAGAACATCTCCACAGGGTCGCACCATGGTCTGTGCACTGCCCCTGTACATCATCTATCAAAAATCTAAGAAAAAAACCAAAACAGCACAAGCATAAACATAGTCGTAAAATACCTCCCTGCTGCCCAGCAACATGTGGGTTACCAGCTTTCCATGCCAGAGGTTGGATCTAGCTGGTGGATCTTCCTTACATATATTTTCTCAGTCCTTTTTTGAATTCTTTACACTTTTGGCCACCACACCACCACGTGCCAATAAATTCTACACTTTTCATTATGTGCTTTGTGCAAAAAGCGCTTGCTCCTATGAATCTATATTCTGTATGTATCTGCTGCTCGATACAGGATTCTGGCATAATTGCAGAGAATGACATAGAGGAGATGAAATCACAGGTAAGCAAGCTATTAAAGACACTGACAGTCACTGGCTTTCCCATTTTCTACAGCATTTAACTATTATCAATATCTAAATACTAACCCTGCCAATGATTTAATTATTGAACTAAGAAAAATCTGCTCACTGTAATGGACGTCCCTTACCCATTTCTGCACGTCAGGGGGACATGGTGATCATTGCACCGTCAAACCCACAAAGTTTTGAGCCAGCCAAGGAGATCTCTGCTGCGTGTGTTTGAATTTGAATTCAGTAAGAGTTTCACCATCAAACACCTTACAGCCTAGATTGAAGCTTTAACCTTGTTTTATGCAGGGCTCAGTCCAGCTGAGAGAGCTGTACAACAACGTGCAATTGCTTTGTCCCTGGAGCCATCTGGATAAGAACTCTCTCTTCTGCTCAGCTTTCTTCTCAGCAATATCATTATGGTACAAAAGGGATGCGAGAGGCAGGTCTAAATCAAATTGCAGTAGAAAGGCAAAACAAGAAAACAGTGGAAACAACAGGGAGGAGACAGGAATGTCACTCACATCAACAACTAAATGAAGCATATGGAAACTGCATGTAAGGCATAGAGGGCATGTAAAAGAAGTTGATATGACCAGATGGCTAAGGAGCAAGGAGAGAACAATTCTGGAAACTGTAAGGGAGACAGAAAACAGAAAAAGAGAACAAAGAATATGAACTTCATACTAAATAGGGCAAATCCAAAGGGAATTTAACAGGACGACTACCGCAGTAGTTGTGAAGAACAAAAGAAAAAAGTGAAAGAACAAGTCAGCAGAGGTTAGAATTGAGCCAGGAATATGCCTTTCCCACCTGGGGAGAGATTTCAGTTTTGGGTTGTCAGCATTAACAGTTTTAGATACTCCACTATTAAGGAGGATCTCATACAGACATGGTAGTAGGGTCCAGGAGAGAAGATGACGGAGACAGGGCAGAGTGGGAGGACAACTTTAGGGGTAACTAAGTGTTTAAGACCTTCAGAGCTGGGTACAGGGCCTGGCTTCCTCAGACACAAAATCAAGTATTTCTCTTTTCTGTGCCTTCATCTCCTGTTAATAAAATTAACATAAAAATATTTCTATCCTTTCTCCGCCTCATTTATGAAGACAGATGACTCTTAAGGACTGACAGGCAGATACTTGTGTTGTTTTAGCTGCAGTGAGGTCCTGATCTAGCTACAGACACAGCTGCAGATCCCAATAAAGCAAATATTAGTGTGCCTTGTATTGGAATCGAAGTCTTAAATATTAGAACATATGTATGTTTTGATAAGTAAGTGTAACACTCAAATTACTCAATTATGTACAATATTTACTCATTGTTCTGGATTTATGCACCTGCTTGTCAGCTGGTTTCAGAAATAGAACTTTTAACACCACCACACAAGGGCATCACAAGGTAAGAAGGAAATGTTAATTGATTTTATCCTTTTGTGAAACAATCCACCCAAAGTTAATTAGAATAGGTTGTTTTTTTCTTTGCAAAAATAATCCGTAAGAAAGACTGATAGGCAGAGCAAACTGCATCTTGCACAAATGTGGTAGGATTTAAGTGATTTTGAGCTATGCTCCCAGAACTCGGTTGCCTTCAGGCATCTATCTGGTCTTTCTCTGTGGATGGCATAATTAGGACTTGAGTGAAAACCCCAGTGGTGAAGCCTGATAAGAAGTTAATCTTCTGGGCACCACATGGGCCAAGAGAGATGTGCCAAAAACTCCAATTAGCAAAGGCTTCCTGTCCGAGGTTGTGCCATTGCATTGCTCAGCGCTGACAAACAGCTGCAGCATCCCCTTCCGAGGTGCGTCAGTTCAGCAGCGCACGAGCCCCACACACGTTATAAGGGTGAGCAGCACAAGAGCAAGCAAAGGGCATCACCTGCACCTTCCACTCACTGCACAAATGGCAGAAAAGCAGCTCTGCCATCTAATCTCATGCCATTTCTCCACCTGACCTTCGTGCTCACAGTGGGACATGTAAATCCTATAGATTCACTCCCTCTGTAGTAATAAGATTCAGCTTCAGTGCTTTCAGCCATAAGCCAAGGCATTTCTTACTACATTTGGGAGCACCTCAGAGTCAATAGCGTCTGATCGTAGGTTTCTTGAACCTCTGACTGAGGTCAAGAAAGCAGAATATAGGTCAAAATCCACATCATCCCAGTTTTAGACTGAGACAGCCCAAGACCTACTGATAGTACAGAACCCAAAAGCATTACAGCAAGCTCATCCCTCCTAGAGCCTCGTATGAGAAAAGGATTATGTTAGACTTCCCACCATCTGTAAAGTAGAGAGGAAAAAGTTCTTGGCTGTTGGAAAGTACTGCAGATCTAGAAAAGAGGATGCTCAGCACCTATTCTTTGCAAGCCAGAGACCCTTTCTTTTACAGGAGAAAAGCACTTCCCTAACAGCCAAAGGAATGCTGAGACCCAGCATCCATGGACCAAACTTCCCTTTCCATCTAGGGATAATTGAGAGCAAATCAAGAGGGATGCAGTACACAGAAACTGCTCCTAAAGAATTTGACTGGTGTCTCCAGAGCAAGGAGCTGTGGTATGACTACAATGGAAGGAGTTAATACACATTGAAATTGCTTTATTAAGTAGGTTTGCCAGAATTTACTTATTATTAAACCTCATTAGTCGGAGACTGCCCTTGTACTCCATGTTCTTACCCAGTTGCTGCCTGCAGCCTGCTGAATAGACGGAGGGATGCTGGAGAGATTATTTCTAAGCCCTTCCCCCTTCCCTCTCCCCTCCTCTTCCAGGACCACACTGACAGTGCCAAGGGAAACAGAGGAGAGACAGGGAAAGGGCAGGATCCACCAGCTCTCACTCAGCAGATTTCACCAGGAAGCCCCAGGAGTCCAGAAGAGGAGCTGCCACTTAGGACACTGTCTCCTTTGCAAAGGATCTATTAGCACACCATATATTACATGAACACATACGAGTATTTTCCCCTTCCCGGAAAGGAGGAGAGAAAGAGGAAAGAGACTGCGATCTCCAGAGTGCTAGAGTGATTTTTCATGTAATCAATACTGTAAAATATCCCCAGGTCTTTCTGCTGGATGGTAACTCAGAGGGCAGCTGAGCAGTTTGCAGCATGTGTACTTCACCTGCGGGGAAGGCAGGCACTGGGCAGCAGCCCGTGGCGCGGTGGTAAGTAACTTCGGGGAAGTTTCCTTGCAATTTTTGCACATCACTGGCTTGGGCTAATAAATGCTTTTGAATCTTTAGAGATTATGAACAAAACCAGGGAGTTGATCCTGAAAGGGGGAAGTGAAAAGCGAGCGTGTCTTTCAATTGCTTCCCCCCCTCCACCCCGAGCTGATAAAATACTTCACTTTCTGTCTGCGAAACAAGTTTTCTCCAGGGTGGGCAAATGTTCTCTATATCTTCTCAGTAATTTGCAGTGACAGCAGACTGGGTTGATAACAATAGTCGCCATTTACACAGCACTTTACCTCTTAAGGCATTTTACAAACATCTACTGGCTAATCCTTGCAATACCCCCGAGAGGCAGGCAGAACAGTGCAGGGAAAGGAAGAGGAATTGCAATCCGAGCCTCCAACTTAAAGCAATTAGTAACTTTACATCCAGCTGATGACAGGTAATTGACCACTCTAACTCTAATAACTATTAAGCAGTTTAGTTGAGTTAGCATGTATTTAAGGGTTTATAGAAACAAGAAAGCAAAGTGACAACCACCGGGAAATACAAGGATCTAACGATGCCCGAGAGGTGCTGGGAGAAGAGCCGGATCTGTTTGCGTTTGGATTTGCAGGCACCCGACCCTGCACAATAATTATGAATGAGGCTTTAGCTCTCCTCCGTGTCTGTGTGTTGCCAGACAACCAATGAGGCTGCAAAGCAAATCGCATTCACAGGCTGCAGATCTCAGGAAGAAGCACAGAGGTGACTTTTACTTACAAAACACACGCTCGTTAACTTTGCGATTTAGTAAAGTAGCCTGAAACACCTTTTCTCTTGCAATAACCTCTGCTATGTTTTCTCCTCCTTTCCATGTCTTTTGGATAACAGATAACCCTGCTCTGATGCCATTTCGGATGTCCCAGTGAGAACTCTTAGAGATGCCTATTCTCTCCGGAGGCAGTGACCAAGACTATAGTAACATTAGCTACAATTCTTGCAATTCCTTGAGCCACCTCTTTCCTGTCTCCGTTGAAACCCCTTCTGTCAAAGGGGTCCATTACCAAAGAGCCAGGAGGATTTACCATCCTGATCAAGTCTCTGCAGTCGATCTAAAAAGAGAGATCATGATAAATGTTGGAGGCATCAAGTACCTGCTACCTTGGAGTACTTTAGATGAATTTCCCCTGACCAGACTGAGCAAACTTAAGTTTTGCAGCAGCTATGAAGAAATAATTCAGCTGTGTGATGATTATGATGAAGACACCCACGAGTTCTTCTTTGACAGGAACCCCAATGCTTTTGGGATGATTGTCAGCTTTCTAGCAGCGGGGAAGCTGATGCTCTTAAGAGACATGTGTGCCTTGTCTTTTCAGGAGGAGCTGAGATACTGGGGGATTGAGGAATCCAACCTGGAGAACTGCTGCTTTCGAAAACTATTTCAAAAACTCCAGGAGTTGGCCGAGGTACGCAAAGAAGAGGAACTTCGGAAGAGCAAAGAAGCTGCATGTGTCTTGGATGAGAAAACCAGATTTGGACAGTTTATGAACAGACTCAGAGATATGGTAGAAAATCCCCAGTCAGGACTCCCAGGCAAAGTCTTTGCTTGTCTCTCCATTCTCTTTGTGGCCACCACAGCTATAAGCCTTTGTGTTAGCACAATGCCAGACTTAAGAGCTGAAGAAGACAGGGTAAGTCAGTCTTTTTTTAATTGGTCTAACTACAGAATTAAAAGAAATGCATCTATCTTGCTAGGCATACATCATTAAAAAGAGAAAAAAACATACAGAAAATCTGTAGCGATGAGGTTCAAAACTGTCGCTGGTAAAGAAATGGTCTATAACAGAAAATGCAACAATGGCTTAAATTTATTCTCTCAAAGTTATATCCATTAAGAATAATGCAAACAGGCAAGAGCTTCTGGACAGAACAGATCCTCAGCTTTTTAATCTAGCACTGTTTTTCCTTCCTAAGAAGCAGTTGGAAGTGTAAGTTGTGATCACTTGTTAGCACTGAGACTCAGATTGACATTGTGGAGTTTTCTCTTCAACATGCCTTACTCTCTAGTTACCAGCAATCTCTTGTTTGGACACATCAGCTAAAGAAATATTTAACTCTGACATCTTTGTTTTTTAAATAGCAGGGCATCTTCCCATGTGATAATACAGCCCAATCTTTAAAGAGGTAGAAATACTCATTAATTTATGTTTAATGTCACAGTTCAATAGTTGCATAAAAATTAAAGGATGAGAGACAGATGAAGTATTTTCACAGATACTGATACTAAAAAGCTGCACCTCCAGAAATCGTAATTCCATGCTAATAGAATTCTGTATTTGCCCACATATATATGTACATATTGTAGAAGCAATGCCAAATACTAGCTGAACTGCTAACTGCATTTAAACCCTTTTCAAGTTAGTCATCCACATTAACTCAGGGCAAGTAAATCAAGCCTGTATCATACATGAAGGATCTTCTCTATAACAGTGTTGTGAATATTTCAGCATTTTAAAGATTTATCATTCTCATAATGAAACAGAGAAAATTAACAATCCAATGTTATTTCAGATGTTGTAGTGCCCAAATCCATCAAATAACCTTAACTTATCTCTTCAATGAATCCTGCACTTCATTTGCAAACTGCCCTTCCAAAAGTGTTGAGGAAATCCATCTCAAACTCCCTGCCCCAACCACTGCTATAAGACATTCCTCAGAGTACTGTATATTGATGAATAAAGTAATATTTACACTTATAGCCCAGCATGGCATGCACAATACAAAAATCTGTATATATTTTATTGCTCAAGCAGTAAGTCAAAGCAGCACAGTCATGGTGAAGATGTCATTATATTTGAAGTCTTTGAATAAAACTAAGGACTGCAAAGAGAGCTGAAATTTAAGATCATTCCCTGTTCAGTTAACCCCTTGAATATTAACTTACATTTGCATAGGAAGACCAGTACTTTTCAGTAATAAGTCTGGTGCTCTTACAGCCTTCCACAGATATTACTTTTGGCAGGAAAAACTGTTCCAATGCTTCTTCCAAGAAAGAGCTTTAAATATAGAACATCCTTCTTACTGCTAGATGTAAAAACATTACAAACTCTGCTCTAGCAAGTGCTTCCTACTAACTTTGTTAATGGAAGTAGCCTGATGCATTTTATCTTAATTGCCCAACCACTGCAGAAAAAGCTATTATACATACTTTTCATGCAAAAGAACAAGCACATAATGTTTCAGAGCTCAGCTAGATGTAATATGTTGTGTGTTTTAAAAATAATTAACCATATGTTAAAAAGGGAAGCACATTAAGGGTTATATGTCTATCTGGTAGCTGCAGTGTAGCTCCTGTTCCTGGATTTCCTATAAAACACAGATGACATTACTACTTAGGGATCTGCATATATATCACTACTTTAAATACAAGCAAAGTGGATTGAAATAAGCTCAAAAGATGGAATGTTTAAAGTGCAGAGGAGAAGATGAAAAATGAACTTAAGCAAAGGAACCACATTTGTCCAAATATTTGGAAACATTCCATAATTTACACTTACAGCAGCAGTCTAATGCACTTTGTCACTGTGTCCCAGAAGCACAGAACAGAGTATTAAAAGTCCTATTATTTGAATCATTTAAAATTATGCCAGAGAAAACACAGGGGAATACATTAGAGAAAATACTCGTGCCTTATGGAAAAGCAGAGAACATGAACAACTAAATAGTAGTTTTTCCATCCCATCCTTAAGTTCTTAGCCTGCAACACCTAAGATTTTCTTATGGAGATCTCAAAAGAACATTTTAGCTAGAACTAGACAAACAGCTCGGAGAACTTAATTGACTTAAAATACTACTTCTTGGTTGCAGCTGAGTCATACCCAGGCAAACTGCAACTCTGCGCTGATTTGTAACTCCAAATTGTTCTTTGGTCAACCTCTGAAAGTCATTCCAAGATGGGGCCACATTTACCAGCAACCTGGGACAGGCATGCAGAATCTGCAATTTTGTCTCTTTGGTTTAAACATAAAGATCACATGATATCAGTTTGCTTAGTTACAAAAAACAGTCAAATTCCTTCAATAAAGTTTCTGAACAACCTGTAATTCCACCCCTGAATTCAAAGATTACCTATCCTGAGGTTTATTAATTCCTGAGCTAAAGCTTGGTAAAACCTCTATGTGTAAATGTGTTTACAAGTACTGCAAGGATCCGTTTCCCAGTGCCACTAACACTGGAAATTGAATTTATCCATTCTGAAATACAAATAAAATTTGTATTTACCTCTGCTGCATATGTACCACTCTAGGGTCCTTTTTCTCATCATCCCAGCCACATTAAGACAGTGAAAGCTGGCTGGACTCCAGCTCAAGGAGAAGGATCAGAGAAAAAAAAAAAAAAAAAAAAAAAAAACAATCAAAGAAAAAAACCTGGGAAAAATAATACAAGGTGACTCCACTCAGAGGCTTGGCTGATCCCACCCTGCAGGCACATAAAATCACTTATCCTTTCAGCAGTTGCTAAGCCACATCTGCTTAGAAGGGAGAATAGCTGCTGGGCAGGCAGAAGAGCAACCAGGAGTCCTCACCATCCAAGGGAAAGTGAAAACTCTGGGAGAGGGATGGCAAGGAGCCAAGGCAAGAGCATCCGCATCAGGGAAACCCAGTCACCCTGGCAACCAGAGGGGAGGGAAGGAGCCATCTCTATGGGCAGCAGAAAAGGGAGAGGAGGGTTAGCTTAAAGATCGGAATACAGCCGAAAGTGAAATAAAGAACACATCATGATTGATACCCTGCACACACTCCAGAATATGTCAAATGACACTTAGGAACCTCCTGATTAGAGATGTGGAAGAAAAACACAGGTAATGGGCAAACTATTCTGTAACTATATATCACATAAGCACCTGCCGTGAATCCCAGGGAACAACCCCAGGCAAAGGAAGCCAAAACTTCAGGAAAACTCTAGAGCGGTAAATGTAGCTCTAGTGATCTCAAGTCTGACTGTGAAACAGATATCAAAAGGATTTATCACACATGATGCTAAGGGGACTCATCAGTAACAAATTATGTTATTTGGGTATAAAAATAACTGAAATGTCACATCCTCCAGTGGCAAATACATCCTTATCTAGGATATTTGCATCTCTTCTTTATGGAGACCAAACTGTTTTCAGTAAGGAAGCAAATATATACCAAAATGTAGTAATCAAGGCAAATGTGTATGTAGAAACAGAAATAAAAAGGCATATTTGAAAGTGAGGAACTCTATTTGTTATTGATCTGAATGGGTAGCCTGAGAGAACCACAAATCTGAATCAGAGGCTACACATATACAATTAGAAAGCAGAAGTGACAAAATTTACCAGTATTTCCCTCAAATGAAGGAATTAAGATTAACCCATGAGAGAAAAAGCAAAATTCCCATCAAAGTCTGCCGAAAGTCCCAGTCCCACATAAGAGTTACAATCAGGATCCAAGAGGTTTAACTGAAATAGTCATTGCTCAGCACATCTAACCCAAAGGAACAAACATCATTACACCAGAGAACCAGGGAATAAAACCACTGCTGAAGAGCCTGGACAGGGAGAATGCTTTGAAGCACCCTTGGGATTTGCTTTAGGATGAGATACTTCCTTTAATGAGTCCCTAACATTGGCATCCTCTAGAGAAATGACTCAGCAGAAAGGATATAGCAAGGTCGTCTCTTCAGGAAGGTGAGGAAATTAAGGACAAAGGGAGAAAAAAAACAAAAACAAAATCAAAACCCCAAACATTTCCATTCCCTGTCCCTCAGCACCGGTAACAACCAAATCCTTTTTCCCAGAGCTGACAGCTCCCAACAAGCCACATGTGAGTGTGGCTTAAGAGAGAAGGAAATCCCTATTCTCTGCTCTCCCTCTCCTCTCCAAGGGTCAGTGAGTGGTCAGACCTTGCTACCACTGATTTTTGTATTTGCTCTTAACTGACCTTGAGAAGCTCTTAATTGCTTTGTGTTGTATATAACCTAATGAAACATAACCAACATAAACTGCAACCAGTGATGTTAGATCTAATCATTTTATCTTGAAACATAGAATATTCACTTTTTTAAAGCTCCAATTCCCAGGGTCATTTGATTATTTGAAAATCTAACTCCTTTTAAAAGAGTAAGTTTTTAGTGTCTGGTTACATTGAGAATCCAGAAAACATGAACAGAGGAAAAGAACCCAGTATCTAATACATAGAACCACTTATTTTTTTTTTCATTCTACACCATTATTCTGGAGGCCCTGACGTGTTTTTCCATGTTTGATGTCGCTGATGTTGTCTGTATGATACTAAAACCAGCCTATTTGGCTTGTACACTAGAGGAAACTGCCAAGAAACACATTTTCTTTAGAAATGGAGTAATTTTACTTTATAGGGGAAAAAAACAATTTATTGATCTTACTGTGAAGAGAAAGAAAATCAAACAAGCTACTTGTTTCATCAGGGTTATTATTGCCACAGCTAAATGCCTTAATTATAAAAAAATCACATTGACTTGTATCTAGCCAGATCAGTATGTGAAGATAGGCTTGCAAGAGGTACATCCTCAGTATTCAAGCCATTAATTCCATTACAGAGACTTTCAAACACAAAGCTCCAACCCTACCCATAACCTGCAGGTAACATAAATATCTTTAGTGCACTCATTATAGGGAAACTCGAAT